TTTCTCAAATACCTGTAAAAATTCATAGACATTTACAAAATCCCTTAAGTGAGCCAGCTGTATAACTATCCAGAGAGTATATTATTTTTTATTTAGCTAAAAGTACCTGGAATATATATGTTCTTGAACAGTTTGCTTTCTGTAAAATGGAGGATGCACCTTTGAGAATTGCAGAATCAAAGGAAAACATGGAAATGAAGTCAGAAATAGGAAAATGTATCAACAATTTTATCAGAGAAAAACAAACCAAACTGTTACTTTCAGTGCTGCATTTTATCACTCCATAAGCTGTATTATAGCCAAATGAAAACAGCCGAGAAGGGAATCAAGTCAATTCGAGACATGATTTATTTTGAACCTCCTCTGTAATGTGTTTAACATAAGCACATTTCACTGTACCACTAAGAACAGTCCTATAGAAACTGAGAGAAATTTAAAGCATGTGTGCATGTTTGCACCAGGTGAAAGTGATCTAGTACAAACCTTTTCTTCATTTCTGCAACATTAAGTGACATTTAGACTTCTTTGCCTCCAGGGACAGTCCTACTGACTGATGAATAGGTGTTTAAATCATTAGCACTGAGGAGAAAAACTTGTAGAAAAGATGGACTTCATGGAGGAAAAGGCAGTTCAGACTGTTGGTTGTGGCTCTCAGTAAGAAAACGACCACGAAAGTTGAGTCAATACTAGTACTGACACCGTTTCTCTTGCTTTAAAAGATTTAAACCGCATGCTGCAAAATGTTTGAGCGTTCACATCCGAGCACCATGCCCAAATTAAACTGCTGCTATTCACAGCACAGCTAGCATTTATACATAGAAATGCAGGGCTCATCTTCACTGCAGATTTAAATTAACTTTGTTGTAATTGAATGTTGCCTTTACATTAAGTCCTGCTGACACACAATAACCTCACTCAAGTATGATGTAGAACAGATACAGGATAGAAGTAGATTAGTGCTGCCAGTGCTCACACACCTTCCCACAAATTCCAGGTGTCAAAAAAGCATGACATCCTGCCAGAATTCACAGCAAAATGGTCTAGAGAACAGTCTCCTATATCTTTTCTGCTAATTACAACCCAGACCAAAATTATCCCTATAGTTGTCTGCCCCAGTAATCCATCAGAAGCTCCCCTTTCTCTTCTCTATTATAGCAGGAGCAACTGAAGTAAAAATATTTTTTTTCCCCAGAACTGTCGTTTCATGCACATTAATAGGGATTTGCACACTGCCAAATCACTCTGCAAGCACAAATTTAATCTTGATCATGTGTGGGCATATGACTGCACTTCTGTCAAATCAGACAGGGCACATGATGAAGTTTTCAGTGTCTTTTTCTATTAACATGAACTTTATGTCAGCCCGGGAGGGTGGATGACATCTGATCTCTCATAAAGCCAGCCAGCACAAAGTTAACCCCTCACATTACTCTGAACAGATCCTAGAGGGCTGAAGGAGTATATAGGAAGTCAATACTCTGCATGGGGCTGTGCTATTCTGGATGCCATTAGGAGATTACAAAAAGCAAATGGACTGAATGAGCCCTCGAAGGCCTCACAGCAGCACACAATCCCGGATGTCAGCTTATGCTGGCAATTTTAAAATGGATTTGCACTTGGCATCCTTGTTCAAGTCATGTCCTGCCAGCCTATGGGGCCAACAAGAGAGATGCTGTGTTATCCTTCACTGCTTTACCTCACAAGAGATTACCTCGAAGTGAAATAATTCAAAAAAATAGATCTAAAATAACTCTGCTTGTACACTGCAAATGTTCCACTATAACGCACAAGACACACAGGGCATACATATTTGCTTCCCTGGATCAAGAAGAGAAGCTCAGAGCCGTCTCCCGGCCCTCCCTTACAGACTGCTACCACCTCGTGGACATTCTTGTTCCACCTCTTGGCAGCAGTAACCGAAATTTTCAAAAGTCGATTCTGTTTTCCTCTGTTCTCTTAGCTGTTCACTAGAAAAAAATGGTTCTTAGGGAAAGAAGTAGCAAACCCAAAGAACTTTAGGTGTACTGTGACACTGTAGAAAGAATCACATGAAAGAAAACGTGTCAAAGACTTCCTTCATAAAGTTTACACATGGATCTCAAAATAGCACCTATCACTCTATTTTGCAAAACCAAATAAAACTTTTAAGGAAAGATAGCAGAGATGTTTTAAAAACAAATTAATAATTTGTGAAGAAAGTTTTCTCTAATATCAAACAAAGCTTTAGTGCACTCATCCTGAATTCCTGCCATTCTTGATTCACTCAGAAACAAATTAAGACTGAGACAGTGAAACAATTTACAATATTAAGCTTAAAGAAAACATCTTAAATCAAGCTGCTACCAAGACAAACATTTTTTTCCTAAGAAAGAATATAGCAGTACATAACTTCTCACCAGAAGTACCCAAAGATTCCTGGAGATCCCAGACTAAAGTTTAGGCTGTGAAGTTTCCCCTGTAAACTCCAGTAAGTGACAGTGATGCCCAGTGGACAGGACAGATTTATAACATATTGGCAGTTTTTTCACTCCAATCTCTGGGCAAAGTCAATCCTGCCTCCTATCCCTGCCTCTCCTGTTAACCCCTCTAAAGGAAGGTTGACTCTTAGCAAAACATTGCACTAACACAACATGATTGAGATGATGATTTTTAATTACTACAATGATAGAAATAAAAATAGATAATTGAAATAAGAGCACATGACTGATTTTGTTTTGTGATTAAATTACAGAAATTATTGTTTATACAAGAGAAGCAAATTTGATCATTCAACTGGCATTTTGGGAAAGGAAAAAAGTAATTCTGGAAATAACAGGATATTAATCAGCTAATATTACTTTTCATCTTACAAAACAGAATAGTTTTAAGGACAGTTTCATGATATTTTTCCCCACTGTTTGCTCATATTACAAGGGTTTTCTTGTGGCACACTGTAGTAATATAGTTATATTAAATGTACAATTTTCTCTCATAATAAGTAGGGAAATAATATGGTTCAAATTTCTTTTCTCAGAGACATAATTTATTTCAAATATTTTAATAGCATGGCACAGATGTTCCACACCTGTGTGCATCTCAGGACGATCTTCACTACAGAGAGAAACATTTACATTGCTTTCCAAAGTTGAAGATGCAGAGTCTGACTCTAGAGGGGGTTGTATACATGGAATGTGATGATGAGAGGGACGAAGAAACTTTCCTATGTGCATTAAGAACCAGTGTTCTCTCATTTCATGTACAAACTGATATGACCATAACATATATAGCCGATATAGAAGTCATGGCATTCATCTTGTGGCAGCAAACAGCAAAACTCCCATGACTGTTTAGTCCTAGAGACTGTGGAGCTGGTAGGTGTTTTGTGATTATACAGATCAAGAGTACATAGTAATGTCACTACTGTAAAGGAAATGTTATTTTAAAGCACTCGGGAATAAATTATTTTCCTATAGATAGGGATGAAAATTAGTTACATAGTTATGCATCTGTCTCATCATCCATAAGTTCTGCCTGTACTGTTACTTATCCCAGAAGTCCAGCTCAGCTCAAGCCATTGTTCTCAATGAATAACAATACGAACCAGCTTAAAATGAGTTTTTTGTGAAAATATGAGAGGAGAATTATAATAGCCAGAAGAGAAAGTGAAAAAGATGAGAGCTGTATGACTGCAACATCAACACTGAAATCTGTGTTGGGAGAATATTTTGTTATCCTATTTGCTATAGTGTTTTTGCCAAAATTTATAAACAAAACCTGGCCAGATTGGATCAGTGCTTAATTACAGGCTTCTACATCTGGCAAGAATTAATTGGACAGAGTTGAAGGAACTTAGTTGCTTTATTCCACTGTCACTGGTTGAGTATGAGAGTTATTTATTCTTTCCTGTGTTTGCTAAGTTTATCCAGTTGCCTCGGATGAACTTGGAACTTCTGGCAGTTGTTGATTTTGGTCCTGAAATACTTCTATATTGATAAGAAAGCATAGTAACAGTTTTGCAATCCTAGCATAACTAGTTGTGGCCACTAAATTTTCAGAAACACAAAACTGAAAGGGAGCTGGCACCCTTTTTGAGGCCAACACAGTAAAAGCTTGTAGTACACTGAAAAGCACTGGTACTCATTGACATCATGTTTATCTAGAAATTAGCTACTTCTGCAGTATGGGCATATTACCTGTCATAAGTAGGTTGCTACATTTGGTAACCAAGAAAACTGGTAATTGCTGTCTGTCTAGAAAGGAACCTCTGTCCTTTGCAACTGGACATGCTAATTTATTGGAAGGGATAAGATGTGGAGGAACACTCAGAATCCCAGCTCCCTGCCTTTCTGTAAACAAGGACAGGGATTTCTGTTATAGTCTTTTAGTTGCTGTTCTTTAAAAAGTGCAGCTTTCCATGTTCTTTATTAGTGACTTGAATTTCATGCGCAGGCAACTGGAAGTGATTCTTATTCAGCCTGTCCAACTCTCCAGCAAAGTGTGTTGTTGTATTGTGGTTTTCAGGCTTTAATGAAACTTTCCAAGTGAGGAGCTGAAAACTGCTGCCTTAAGTATGGCCAGTTTTACATTCCTCTCCTGAGGAATGACGTTTTGCAGGCAGTTACAGGCACTTAGCAATTCTTGGGATAGAAAATATCAAGCTGCAGTAGAAAATGGGTGCTTGTTTAGCACTGAAGGTGTTCTATAGGTGATTATCACACACACAAACTCAGCACCTTTTCTTAAGCACCTTCTTTTAAAGTGTAGAGCAGAGAATGTTTTTAGAAATTCAAGTTGTTATTAAAAGTCCTAATCAAGATATCAGTTGCATTATTGATATGCTCAGTGGGAGCAGCTACACAGACTTTGATTTATAGCAGTGTAAATCAGATTTGCACCTGATTCACTGTGGTGTGCTTTTTCATGGCAGCACACACTATTTAACGCTATATCATACTGCAGTGCTAACCAGCAAGACACTGTTTGTCTGCTCTCTGCCTACCAACATTGAATTTGCATACTAGCCGACCCACACACTGACCTCTGCACAAGCAGACACACAGTGGTACTACTTACAAGTAAGCAATGCACAGGCAGGGATGCTGTATCACTTCACTATTGTCAGCTTTACCAAGTATAACAGCCTATCTAAATATGGCTTGTGGCCATTGTTGTACTCAGAAGTTAATGCAAAGACACAGCATAAGAAATGGCTGGTGAAGGACTGGAAATTAATCAAGCATTAGAAAAACAATGTGAGGCAAAGTGGACATCATTATCTCTCACTTTGGATGTTCCAGTTTCCTCATGACCAAAACACCTGCTACTTTGCCCACTATTATCCTTACCCCTACTCCAATCTGTAGGAGTATCTGGGAGCCATCTCTAAAGATCCAGTGAAGTCCAAATTCTTCAAGATTCACATCTTATGCCATTCACTGGCAGGAAACACCTTTATCATCATCACCACCACCACTATCCCCCTCCAAAAGTGACAAGGAAGGCTGTGATACTGACCAGTATACTGTGATACCGTCAGTATGGTAAGGGTGCATCCAGGAGAAACAGAGCTCCTGAATAATGAAGGGCTTCATGGATTTCATTCTTGGTAAGCAAAGCTCAACTCCTGTGGGACAATTTTATCTTGAAAGTGGTACGAATGTTGAATCCAGATGGTGTGATTGTGGGAAATCACCACTGCTTTTAACAGGCCATGACTTGAATTGCAAATATAGATCTATTGTAGGAGGAATGTTACCCTTCCATCTGGTATACCCAAAACATGATAAAAAGATAACCTCATTTTCTTTCCCTTTGAAACAGTTGATTTTCCTTTCCACTATATTTTTTTAGTTTGATGTCTCTATGTCCCTTACTGTTTTGATATTGTTTACATCTTTGCACAAAAGAATGAGATGGTTTTCTGCTGGGTTAATGAGTTAAATCAGACCACACAAGATTTTTTTCTTTTTGAGCATCAGAGTCAGTCTAAGGAACGGAGTAAAACACTAGCTATGAGTCACAATCAGTGCAAGAAGCTTCTTACTTCTCTTCCTCTCATGATTATGGGCACTTTCCCATGTGGATCTACTTCAGTGACTAATTAAGTTTATTAGATCAAAAGACTTACCAAAATTTCTGTTATTGTTCTTGATGAAAGTTCTTAGAGACATTTGAAAAAAGTGAATAGCAAGGATTATCACAGCTACAGTAGAATTTTTGACAGAAATGCATGCTGGAGCTTTACATAGCCCTCAACAGCATTTTGCTGCTGTTCAGCCTAGATGTAAAACAGAAGCATTGTTATGGTGACCTAGAGAAAACTGTCATTTGGAAAGAAGACACATTGATATTTTTATGGGTAATATTCTTTTTATGTATATAAACATTATAATGCTGACTGCTTTATTAATGCTTTTATTGGTTCAACAGCTATACCAGTGTTTCTCAAGCTTTTTGCGTTTTCTGCCAATCCTTCTTTTTAGAAGCCCCAACACTGGAAAAACAGAGCAGTGGCAATTAATGCTACTGAGAAAGCATGGATGTCCAGGTTCCCAGACTAAAAATAAACAAGCCATATTGAGTAGGAAGTGAGGTCCCTTGTCAATATATGTTTGTATCCAGGTTCATAAGTACTTGCTGAACAGAACAGCATAAAGAATTCAATCTTGAGCAGCTTGCTTATAAGTACTCCTTCTGGCATTGTGATTATCATGTTTATTTGCAAATGTTGGGGTTTTTTTTGATTTGCAACTATGATATGCCCTCATGAATTAAAATGGCTACATTTCTGAAAAAAAAAACCAAAAAAACCAAAATATCAGGAGAACATTTTCACATTTCCTTAGCATCACTAAGGAGAGAAGTAATAAAATCAAAAATACTTGTATTTTTCATCCCAGGATGAAGTTTACTAAAGGGTCATTGTCAGAATATAAGATGTAATATTTTTTAAAAACTTCTCCATTATTGCTATTCAGCATCCTACGTAACTATTTAGACAATGTGAGTCTTGTTGGAGTTGACAAATACTTAAAGATCATAGATAAAAATAATGTAGTCTAATGTTATGTTCCTACATTCATTAAAAATAATTTAATTTAGATATTTTTTATAATGCTGAGAACCCAGCAGCCTGCAAAATGAACACAAGTTGCTGAGTCTTCTGAGCTTTTGAAAATCATGCTAAATACTGAATGCTGAGGTTGCCCTCTGCGTGTGTGTGGGGGGGAAAAGACCAGCCCCTTACATGTTAACTCTTTTTCCCACTAGTTATTGAACTCTTACCAAGCTTCCCCTGTCCTGGTGAACACTACTTGAACAACCCATAAAGGAGCTGACTGATAATACCTTTTGGTCAATCAGTCTTTTGGAACTTGATAATAATAATAATTCATTCCTGTTTTTATTCTGCTTCACAGACTCAAGGCATTGATACTCAACAGGTATCTAACCCAGTGAAAAAAGGTAAGCATTATACGTTTGGTTAATTTTTTAAATCCAAATAAGACATTTTTTTCTATAATCTCAAACCTCAGTAAAGAGTATGTTTCACAAAGATAAGTACAGAGTTCTTTGGCTGGGGTTTCACTCAGTCTCAGCATTTGGAAGAGCTCATTTTTCTATAATTTAAACTGTCTCCATCACATTATTACACTATTATGTATCGACTGACAACAGTCTCACTAGTGAAAAAATAAACCCAAGGCAAATTCCAGAGAGGGAAAAAAAATATTTGCTCCTACTGGCACTAGGGTACAAGCATTTGTAATAATTTGCAGAGCAGCACTAAAGCCAGCTGCAGCTAACCTTGTCCATGGCTGGCTGGTGGCACATCTGCCAGGTCAGGTCAGGCTGAGGGAGAGTCCAGGGGCCTGGGCTGCAGCAGTCATTTTGGCACTTGAGGAGATGTGGTCTTTACCTGCCATCAGTGCTGGGGCTGTGCCTGTCACACCAGCTAAGGTGCTGGAGAGAACCAGGTCTGGAGAAAAAAGACACATGAGCCACCCACAGTATAGAGGGAGTGATGAAATTAAAAGGGAGTCCCTCTTCGCCAGCCTCTAAGTCTGGGCACAAATCGTTACAGCTGTAATTGGCTTCTCTGCAACAGGAGGTGCAGTTAAGTAGAGTTTAAGCACAGTTTAAGTTTGGTACAGTTGAGTACGTTGCAGTGTTATGACGGGTAAGAGCTCGCCTGCCAAAAAGGAGATTAATAAAGAATGTTTTTTAAATGTTTTTGCAGTCTTGGTACTTTCTTCCCCAGCTGCAGCTGTTTGTTCCTAGTTATTGTGAATCATACCCAAGGGGAAAAACATAACAGATCACATTCTTCTAGGCTTTCCTGGAATTGACATTGCTTAGAGGAAGTTTAACAAAAAAATAAACAAATGTCCTGGCTCTTAATATTTTTTTTTCTGTGTTTTAGATCCAGACTGGAGTATTATCCAACATGATAATATGTGGGATAAGGTGAGAAAATAAAGGTCAAGACAAACCAGGTGGCACAGACACTCCAAAACAGACAGTTACTAGTTTAGAATGGTTGGATATCTTAAAATCACAATATTGTCTCAGTGCCAGTGCATAGCTCACTGCTAGCACATTTCCTTCTAGGTTCTGGTGCTCTGGCAATGAACAATGAAGGCTGTACACTCCTATGGGTGCAAGGTCCCCGCTTATTGTCGATGTTTACTTTCCTAAGTACCCACCTACTGATAGCACCAAATGTTCTGTGTCTTGCTGAGCATGCACTTCGCTGTTGTTGGTTCACAGAGCAAAGCAGATTTAGCAAGCCAGTTACACTGCAGTGGATTCTGCCCCAAAGACCTTATGAAATAATACGTAATAATTTATTTGCACTACATGATTTCAAGGACTTCTGCTTTGCACCTTACAGCTTAGACTTTGCTACACGAACTTGAAAATTGTAGGTTTTCACCTGATAAAAAAGAAAAGAAATATTTTTGGTGACTGTTTTTACTTCTGTAATGGTAAAGTAACACTCTGCTGCATCTGTGATAGTACTTCCGACTGACTCAGAGGGGGTAGTGGTATAGTAAGCATATGATATTGGCACTTATGGCATTGTGGTTCTTTGTAGCTTGAAATACAGAAAATTACTTTTTTTTTTCTCATATGATTCTTAAGAAATGCTTCAGACTACAGTAGCAGGAAGTTTACCTCTAAGGATTTTCTATTCCGTGTGGTCATATTTACGTATATCTTGTCATGAATTTCTGTGGAGATATAGTATTTTCTGGACTGACCTCTGCATCTTTTAGCTCTGAGAGTCCCACCCCCAATGCTAAAGGCATTTATGAAAAGTCATCTGTGCAACAGGAGGCAGGAAATTTGTGTGCCATGATATGATCCTGTCCAAAAGAGAAAATTTTCATTCATCCAACTTTAATCTGTTCTCTAGAAGATGAGGAAAAAATGGTTGAAATGTCTTCAAGACTGCAGAGAAGACTTTCAATATCTAAATGGTTTCTCAGTTATTGTTCTATTCAAAATACCAAAAAGACTAGGGTTTGGTTCTGTGTGGAGGGTTTCTTGGTCTAGTTACATCATGGTACTGAAAGACATAAGACATGGTAGCAGTACATTAGCAGTGCTGGAAAACTCCCATGTGTTCAGCAGAAGCTGATATGCTGTGTCAGATACCAGAACTGTTTTCATGGAGCTTCCCATGGAGCTGAAACACTAGAGGTCCTGAAGCTTGTTGACCTCTTTGTGAACAGCCCACAGAACAGAGCGTAGAAAATCTCAACCTAATGGCAAAGAATATCTCTGACCCTGCATTATCCTTCTGCAATTAATAGGGGAAAGGCTCTAGCCATAGGTTCATTGCTTTTCATATGTATCAGCATGCCACAAAGGGATGTATGGTCTGACTGTGAAATGTTGGAATTAACCTTTTCAGAGGGAGGTTAATAGAATGTCATATCACCAGAGCAATAAAACCAAGTCCTATGCCTATGACTGAAGTTTCCACATTTTAGCACTAGAATTTGTATCTTGCTGTGGCTCCCCTTTAGTAAAGAAACCAAAGCCATATACTTTTTTTAGTATATAGTAACACTGTAATAGTTGATATGGATTTGTTCTTTCCTCTTTTTTGGCTCATGTCATGATTGTAGCACAAAGAGCAATTCAAAAAAGGAAGAAAGAAAAATGAAGGAGAGGTTTCCCTCAAGAAACACAAGACCCAAGAAAACCAGAACAGCAAGCAAAGATGTAAATTTTGGAAAGAGAAAATCTTGCCAGCCACAAGGCACACTGCAGTTCTCCCTTCTGCTACTGCCTGAGTCAAGGAACAGACAACATGCTACAAAGCATCAGGGTATAGTTTGGAGCCCCAGTTCTTCAGCCAATGAAGGCACATGAAAGTATAATGTGTCTGATTTGCTTAAATAGTTCCCAAGACTTTGGTTATGGATTATGACTCTACCAGCAAGGGAGCAGATACCAGCAGAAATCAAAATTATTCTTGCTTCTTTTTTTTTTTCTTTTTTTTAATAAATAGTTTGCACACCTTGGCTAATGTACACATGAAGCTTCTCTGACCACTACTAAACCAGCTTAGTAGTTAGTAGAGAGTCTCTCCCGAATATAAAGTATCATTTGTCTTGAACAATACATGCTGATTTAGCGAGGCAGACTCCACTTCCAGAAAGAGCTCTGATTTTCAGGAAACAATTCCAGGAAGAAACGATCACGCAGGAATTTGGTGGAAGCTGGCTCCTGGAAAGTGCTTTCCTTTCCCACCCACAGACAACAGGACCTAGCAGCCCAAACACTCCATCCAGCCTCTCCTACCTCCAGGCGCACACACGTAGAAAGCCCTGCTTGCTTTCTCATCTCCTTTCCCATTCTTTCTCCACGTTGATGATCATTGCCCTGCTTACCCCACCCCACACCCATCATACTTATTTTCCCCAACTGCTCCATCAGTGAATTCTGACAGTGCTGTGGTACTGGGGTCGTTGCTGGGACAGTCAGTCACCTCTACAGAAGTGTCCAAACAAAACAAACTCATCTAACCCCTCGTGGACACGCAAGCTACTACAGTAGCACGACACTCCTGGTGAACTTAGCCAGGTCAGTTATTACCGCCGGTTAGCACAGCCGGGAGAAGGAGATGCAAACGTGGCCCCGGCTCTTATTGTGGTGGCTGGGCTTGGCTTGTTTTCTTCCTCATATTTGGACGAGTCATATCAGGGAGGAGCACATTGAGGAGAATGTGCTCAAAATCGAAACAGAAAGCGAACAGCACGTGACACAACAGGGGCTGGCTGTGTCACAGCCCAGCCAGCTCAGGACCTGGCAGCACACAGACCAGCTCGGCTCCCCAGGGCACCTCAGCCCTCTCCAGTGTGTCTCAGCTCCGCACCCAGTCAGATGGGCAGTCGGTAAGTATCCTCCACCAAGTCCCCCACCTTTTTAACGCTACTGGCATTGGAGGGAACTGCCAGGAGAAGAAGTGGTGTGCAAATGTCTTGGAGGGAGCAGGTCCTTCCCCAGCTGTAGGACTCTTTAAGGGCAGTTCCTCTACAGTCTGTTGCATTTGCCGCTGGCTGATTTTTGCTTGCTGGCAATCCTTAGCTTGTCAGTGGCCTTTCTTCACCTATGGTTTCTCTGCAGATAATCCTGCCTGGGGGGAAAGAGGGTTCCGGGAAGCCGAGGGGCTGGGGGGGGAGCAAGTATGCTGAAGAAAAAGTGCTAAGTCCAAAGCTGCCTTCCTTTCCCACCACTCTCACATGGCATTTCTCCCTGCAGCAGCCAGGGAGAGGGGATGCAGGAAAGTCAAGTCTTCTGGAGGGCTCTTCGGTGAAAGAGAACATGCCCATCCCCATGTCCCTTTGCATTCAGCCCCACTGCAGTGGCTCCACAGAGATGTGTGACCCTGCACAGAGGCCAGATCCTGTGCCAGAGCTGCATGCATTCCTGCCACCTTTGCCCAGGTATTCTGCCAGCAGCTTGTTGGAGGAAGCGCAGCCCCAGCCTGGGAAGCTGCTTATCTCCCTACCAGCAGCAGAGGAAAGGGCTGCGCAGTCTCAACAGCACAGAAGGTGCCACATCTCCCACAAAGACATCCCACAGAGCTCCTGAGCCATGCAATGGAGCCTCTCTCTGCCAGGGAGACTGAGACACAGAGCTCTCCTATGGTGAAACCCAGTGTTTCCCGCGATGCCTGTCCAGAAAGAAGGAGGCTGAATCCAGCCTGGGGCTTGCTGTGCCATGCTTTGATTCCTCTTTCTTGCATTTTTGAGGAAGAGCCACAGAGTCTCTTGTCCAAAGGCATAAGCACCTCCTTAGAGGTGGCAAGGCTGCAGATGTTTGGGAAAAACCCCAGCTGTACCCTGGGTGACAGCTCTTTCCTGTTTGTTCCTTGCTTCTCAGCCAGGCTGCCACCAAAGGATGAGCTGCAGAGCTCACAAATGCCGTGCTTGCAACTGCACTGGTGGCAGGGTGCTAGGTCTCAGCCTTCACTGCCAAATGATACATCGCCTCCAGGCCAGCCATGTGTTCTCTATCCAGCTGGCACAAGGCACCCACTCCAGGCATGTTTCTGGCCTGTCACAGTCACACCTAGGGACAGGGATTTACCTGCTGGGCTGGCTGGAGAGGCAGCAGGAAGATGAGGGGCAAAACTGCCTGAAATTTGACAATGAACAGAGTGGCATCACTGGGAAAAGAAAATATGTCCTTATAGACATGAGCCTCAAAGCAAAAAAGAGGGCAGAGATACCAAGGGGTTTCCCCAGGCCCTCATAGATGCAGAGATCACACAGCAGCCCAGGGTCTCTGAGGTGGCTGTCCTCTACCTGTGGCATATATATCCACAAACCTGCTAGGAATTTAACTCTCTGTCCCCTCTCTAGTAAATATGTGCAAGTAGGACAATTATAATAGCTTTTATGTTTTATGGATGCTGGGGGAGTAAACATGAGATGATTGAACAAAAACCCTGTATTTCTACAAGCTTGCCTTCCTAAGGAAGTCAGTCTAAAGAAATATGACAGCAAGTATTGGTGAGTGGGCAAGGCCAGGAGCTGGCTGGGCTGTACTGGTCCCAGCTCTGAGGTCTAACAGAAATCCCTGGGGAGCTGGTCAGCTAACCAAGAGTCCCTTCCAAGTGCAGCTTGTTCTGACACCTGTGAGGCAGGACAGCAGGGAGAACAGTGGGTGGTGTGAGCCCTTGTGGAACAGGGAGAGGAAAAGCAGCAATGCCTGGCTGCAGGAGACCGTGTGTAAGACAAACAAATCAAGGGGCAATATCAGGGGCAAGACAAACCATGGTGAAATTACATGTGCCTGAGGTCTCATTCTGCAGCACACTCCGTGCCCAAGCATGAATATTTTTCTCATTGCTTGTGTCTTCATTGTAGATTCAGAACAATGGGCAACCTCCATGTGACCTTCCAGTCTCTCCAGAAGCCTGTTGTGAAGAAGACCTCCAAGGGAAGCTACAAGAAGTGAGGGAAAAGTGATCAGGAGAAGTGGACAGGTTGGTGTCTGATGCTGTGACCCCCTTCCATGCTGTGTGTGTGCTGCTCCTAGCCATGACTGTGTGGAGAAGTTTGGGATGGAGAAGCTTTATCTCTGTGCTCATTAAACAGAGGTGCCCACTTCCAAATATCCAGGGAGAGACAGGGAGTGGGAGGGGGATGCTGAAGGGTCTCTAGTCACCAGCACTGCAGCCAGGCACTGGGTACAAATTTAGTGGAGTCTCTCCTGCTGCTCTAAAAACTCAGAGGCTGGACTGTACCAAATCCAAAAGCAGCTTTGGGTGATGGCCTAGAGAACATCCAGGACATCAGGATGATATACCACTAGACAATAGGCAACAGAGGGGGGACAGCGGAACCAATGTGAACTTTTTGAAGGAAAGTGGTGAATGATTCTCAGGAGATAATGCTTGTCAAAGGGGAGGAAAGTTATTTGCAAAGCCTCGAGCCAGAGGCTGAGCTTGAAGCCAAGATCTCCAAGCTCTTTGTCTTACTTGTGTCTCTTTGCAGATCTGGGTGGTCTGTGCTGCGATGCCATGTGGATCTGCAGCCAGTGATACCTCTTCCTGATGCCACTTTCCTGTTTTTCAGTGTGAAGCAGAAGCCTGCAAGAGGGCACTGAGGACAGTTCACATTTCTGGGAGAGGAGCAGTCTTGGGTTTGCCAAGCAGTCCGAGAGAGGTGCACAGAGGATGGCAATCACAGGTCTGTCTCAGTAACACCCATGTCCCTGGGCCTCAGAGGAGGGTGAGTGGCTGCAGGTTGATCCATGCCTCTCTGAGCTGGACAACAGCCTGTCTGTGTAGGGCATTGGTCCTTAGGCAACCAGGACAGAGGAGCACCATGTCTGCCAGCCTCAGTGGTGGGAGCAGAGCTGCAGGCAATCAGTCCTGGTGTGCTCAGAAATCTATGGGCATGCAAGGACCTCAGGTGCAAGTGGACGTCAGGTGCTGGAAAAGGGTGGCATCGATGGCACTGACTGTCCCAGAGCTATAGAATGGGGCAGGGAGGCAAGGGGAGCCCTGCAGTTCAGATCCTGTCATACCTGCATTTTACTCAGTAGTCCAAAGATCACAAGGGATGTGCTTGTCTGACCAAAACTGAAAGAAAAGCATTTTCCCAGAATAGCTCTTAACTCCTCCTTCTTTTACTCAGTAGTCCAAAGATCACAAGGGTTGTCTTTGTCTGACCAAAACTGAAAGAAAAGCATTTTCCCAGAACAGCTCTAAACCCCCTTCTTATCAGACAGTAGTTTTGCTCCCTTCCCATCACTGCAGTTTGCTGACAAGTGCCTCTCTGTTCAATATGAGATCATGGTGCAAGGGGCATGTGTGGGGCTGAGTCATACCATCCTCCCAGTGCTGGTCCACACACAGGACATCATTAAGCCACCTTTGCTGTGACAAAAAATGTACCTAATGCACCCCCTCGACCCAGTAACACATGCAGCACAGTCCTAGGCAGGACTGAGATGCTTCAGTTCTATTTGCAAGGGGAGTCCTAGACTCCAGCGACACAGGCTCAGAGCACATCTTGGGAAGGGTGCCATAACAGACAACAACTGAGGGGTCCCCTCCTTTGTGTTTTGCAACAGGCATCCCCACAGCAGGCTTTTCCATGGCACCAAGAAAGCATATAGGCACCAGGATGGGTCTGCTGCAACAGAGGTGTACAGGGTACCTGTTCTATGTGCTGAGTCTCCTCGAGGCTGCTGGGACCTTGACCTTGATGGTCTACGCACTGCTGTGTGAAGCTGGAAACCTGGTTGACATCCCTGACAAACGCATTGGCTTCTACAACTTCTGCCTGTGGAATGAGACAGCTGGGGAGCTGCAGTGCCTGGACTACAAGCATCTACAGGTGATGGGCATCAGC